CTTCTTCTTCTTCTTCTCCCTCCCCCTCCCTCTCTCTCTCTCTCTCTCTCTCTCTCCCCCGCAGAAACGGAAAATAAGAAAATCTCTTTGTCGTCATTTGTACCGCAAAGATGTTTTCATTGTAACACCATGATGATGGCAATGGACAAAGGAAAATGGCGCGTGCATCGCGTAATGCACTTCTTCTGATAGAAACTGGTTCGCTTTATTCAATTAAACTTCACTGAATGCATTGCGATACTGACAATAAATGAATTGTTGAGCGGAGAAACGGCGATATAAGTTATTTTTGTTGTTTCAGGAAACAAGAGCACAGTTCGGAAAATTGTCTACCATAAAATATGATCATCTCTTTACAGGTTTCCTTTACAAAAATATGTAATATTTCATGCCACCGCGAAGCCGTGCCACAGCGGGATGTCTGCGTTAAACTTTTATTGTTACCATCCTTACGTCACTCAACCGAATGCTGTCATACATATTAATTCGAGGAAGGAGGAGGAAGAAAAAGAGGAGTGCAGAGGAAATCGATCGATTAATGGGGCAAATATTTATACTTATCTCGGATAAACCGAGTTAAGTGTGTTTTGAACTGCGAGTAAGCTGGCAATAAACTTCTCGAAGCAAAGTATCATCGTCGCGGACACCCCCCGCTGGGAGTTACGAGAATTGTTTATCGGTTCAGCAACTTCCGTCGCGTTGAATCTACGACGAGGAAATAATTTTCTCAAGGCGATATCATCTAATTTTTCGCGAGTTTAAGAATCCCCCCCGTTTCAGCTGCCCCGCCCGCAATTTACTCGGGGAAGCTCACGCGGAAACAAATTAATCGCGAATGATTCGCGCAACATCCTGGCGCGCGTGGATGAACGGAGAGGACGGACGGGATTCGCCGGGGATTAAAAACGTAATTTGCAATTACCTTGCTCGGCCATGCGTGCGCGGGATAAAACCCGCGGGAAGCGGCTTCCCATCGCCGCTTGAAAATTTGTCAAACTCGTTCGGAAACGGGGGCTTTAAACGAACCGAGGCGTTCGGAAAGTAGCTAACGCCACGAATTATCACGCTTTTGTGCGGGCGCAGTTTATTCATCTCAGCCGACGCTGATCGAGAGCGCGGCTGGTATAATTGGCTGCCGTTGCGACGATCCCGACAGGCCAACTGCTGCCGGCTCGCCATCATACGCTAGTTACGCTCTATTGCCGGGAACTCGGCGAGTATATAATCGAATTTCGTCGCTGTTGATTAGGCCGTGATTACGCGAGGAGACGCGCTCGCGGCTGATGCGGCAAATATTGAATCTCGGCATGGCGCGGCCGACGCGCATAATCCGGCCCGTTTTCTCTTAGCAGAGACACTTTAGGCGCTTCCGAACGTCGCCGGGTTATTCCTCCCCCCTGGGTGGCTGGAGAACTTTATCCGCGACTTTCGTATCGCGAATTCTCCACGGCGCTCAGCGTTAATCCGTTTTCCTCGGAGTCCCCGACTCCCCCCCCTCCCCTCCTTGCGCTTCTCCGCGCAATCAGCCCCGTCGTTAGACAATATTCACGCGAGAGCCCCTCGCCCCCATCGTCCTGGCATTGAACGGAGACACAAAACGAACGGAGAACAAAACTTTCCAGGAGCGATAATCAATTATACATGTCGGTTAGTGACAGAAATATCAAATACCCGCGAGTTTAATTGTAATGTTTTCTTTACTAATGTTAATGTCGAAGTTGTCATAATAATAATGATAAAAACGACAATGAGGTGCCACTTTCCCTCAGAATAATGAGATATGATTTTTAAACAATAATAAATGAATAATAAACGGATAATAAATGGCATCGCTCGGTAGACAGAATCTTAGGTGTCTCGTAATTTTTCATTTTTTTGTTTAAATTAAATTTATATCTAAATGTAATCTAAATTCGGAACGATTGCTTAATTATCGCGAATCATATCATTTTTTATTAAAGTTTTTTGAAGTTTTATTTTACGTATTTGCTAATATTAGTAAATAGAGTTTTCAATCGCTGATTCCTTCTCAATTCAGAAAATTACGATAATAACTTAACTTTTAGTTGCCAGTCTCTACTCTATGATATTATTCTTTATGTACGTGTATATGAAGAAAATTCTCTCTATCGTGATTGCGGCGTATGTAACGGGCGAAACTTCGCTCGCAGCGAGTCGCGACAAGTTTCTTTATTAAATTTAGCGAAAGGCTACCAGCAATTTCGACGGGTCTGTTTTATTTGGCGACAAGAAATTCGAGCTCTCACCGCCAAAGGCCGCTAGAATTGGCGAAGTTTGGAACGAACGGGTTACAAGGGCCGGCCAATGCTCGTACAATGAGCTCGAGCTAATTTAATTATGAGTCAACACCATTGACCATCTTTCCAAGCCTCGCAATCTGTCCCATTTCCTCAATTTCCTTTTCTTCATCCTTTCATACGCCCATGACCAACATTTTGCTTTTAACTCAATTTAGAAGAGATGCAAACTTAATTTAAAAAGATAGACCGTATCATTTAATGAGCGCATCTAATTTTCTAGTATAACTTGAAGCACATTTTCAATTATTATTCAAATCGAATAATTTAATATGTTTCACCCCCCCCTCCCATACACACACAGCATAAAATAAAAATATGTCTTTCTCTATACGAGAAATTAATATGATAATATCCCAGGCACATGAATCAACTAGCAACTATATCTAATAATTCAACGATAATATCATTTTTGAAATAAAAAGGTAAAAAAGAATAAAGAACCAGAATGCACAACGTTAGCAAGAAAGTAATGATCCAACGCGATGTATTTGGAATTGTGCTATCGTTCGTTTTCGTTTCTCTCTCGCCTTGGCTTCTGATTTACATTTGTCGTCTATTGTCGCGACAAAAATAAGAAACTAAGAACTTATCGGGCTGATTACGCGACGAGACCGTGCGTCAACGCCACGAGGAACGAGCGTAAATCCGCGCGTTCCTCTTCGCGCGTCAGATAGCGATGGGCTTAATCGTCATACTTGTAGCACGTTTATCTCATTCGATGGTCCATTAAATCCCGTGGCTTCGTGATAATATCAAGTTATGGCTGACGAGCCGCGGAATGCGCGCGTCAGCGATTCCCCGGCGCACTTCGAATTACACGCCGGAATCGAGGTCGAGACGCGCGCCTCGTTTCGATCCGATTCCGCCGTGTCGAGCGATCGCGCTACCCTTCCGTAATCCCGAATCACAGCAACGGTTACGCTTCCGCCTCCCTTCGCGCATCCCTTCACGAAATGTTTCGCATCGAAGGATGCATGTAAGACATGCGCGCGGGGCCGAGTGCAGTGGGTCGCGTCCTTGCGGCTAGATCCTCTCCTAAATTTCGAGATTTCACGGCCCGCGAGGTCGAAGCCGTCTCGTAAAATATCTGCGGCGGTGGAAGGTCGGATGGGGATAAAGAGACACAACCCCCGAGATGGGGCGAGACGCGCGACATCGGGGATGTAGTAAAGGCTAGGACAAGAAGAGGAGAAATAGAGAACCGTGGAGAGTTATCTTTCAATCTACTTCGAAACCTACCCTTGCCCGGGCGAGGGGCGGGTAGACAGCGCCGTCTCTCTCTCTC